ATGCAGTAATACGATAGGAGATGGATACAGTTTTTAGGAATGGATTTTCTTCTACATCTTGTAATTGTGGTCTCAGGGTGTGAGTTCTATCTCTCGTGCTATTTAGTGTAGTTATCTATTGATAAAATGTTTTTATTATTACGTCTCTTTCAGTAATGCAATGTGTGCTGAATGCTGCTTCTGTTCTTGCTAAGTACAAGTTTTTTTTTGATTTAGCAGCAAAAGGAAAAAAGTGGTCAATGACTGAACTCAAAACAAAACAAAAGACCCCAAACACAATACTGATAACTAGTTAGAACATAGCTTATTTTTAAAATTACTTATGGAAATGATATTGAAAGCAGGAGATGACTGTCTTAGGAAGGGCTTGTCTGAACATCTATCTCTAGTCACTGATGTATATCCTGTAAATGTTACAACTCCTCTGCCAAGTGAGTTCATGAGGTTTCTCAAGATAAGTAACAATGCTCTACAAGACCTTCCTAGTGCAACAATGACTAAGAAGGACTAATAGTAACTAAAAATGACTAATGCTGGTTAGAAGAATCACAGTTACCCATTCTATGCCCTGATTCTGTTTTCTCTTTCTTTTTCTTTTTTTCTTTTTCTTTTTTTTCCTGTGGCAATCGGCACAGGAGACAATCAGGCTTTTGCCATAAACAATAGGTTGGACAGAGTTTTGCTTTTAAAGCTGGCCTGAAAGGTACATTAAAATACAAAAACAAGGACCAACCAAAAATTGATTCACAAAATCTGTGAACTGAAATACAAATTCTACATTTGATTTCTGAAAATAGTGCAGTCTAAATAGAGAATCATAACTGCACTGCTAAAGTAAACACTCCTTCAATGTTTGCTTGTTTTGATGTACATGCTTGACCAAAAATTCACTGGGTGTTGATACACAGTTTGAGTACAACTGAATCACAGATGCCTTAACTCTCACAGTTTCAGAGTATCTCTGGAGTTTTCTGCAGATATATCTGAAGTCTCCCAAGCTCTTTCAGGACTGAGATAAAGTATTTAATTTGGCTTCATGCAATAAAGAATTCTTCAGTAGCATGAGCATAAATGGCTGCGAGTTCTTCTGAAGGCTGCCTGGCCTCAGGCTATCTTAGAGGTTCCCAGGGAATAATTTCAGAACACCATGTGCCTCCTTCCTGGAAGAAGTGAGATGGCGAAACACATCAGTGCCTTCTTCAGTTCTTTGCTCATAACATGTGACATACGTTAAAGCGTTTCTTAAATTATCCATGAATTCTAAATGGGTTTATATAATTTATATTTATTACAAAAAAACAGTAATTTCTACAATTTGGTAATTTAACTCATAATTATGACTAAAACTGCCTCTTCATTTAGTAGAAGGTAGTAGTGGCATTTTCTGTCTAATAATAACGTTGTTTTACCTCCCTAATAATAATGTTGTTGAACAATGTGTATAGCTGCATGGAGACCATTAATTCCAAATGCAGAATGCCTCTGTCAGTTCTTGAATGTGTGAATAAAAGCTTCTGTAGTAACTTGCAGATGAATATGCAAAATTGCTCTTTGCAAGGGTTTAGGCTAGTAAGGAGCAATCTCAGTCTGCAGACAGAGCAAGGGGAAAGTCTCCCACACTATTTGGAGTCCAGTAGGTGGTAAATTCTGTCCTCTTCAAATCCTGTAGAAGTGCATAAACCAAATATATATTTTTAAAATGAGATATCAGTAGCAAATTCCCTGGTAAAAGGTAGAACTGGAGAGACTTCAGTTGAGAACTTAAAACATTTATAGTATTTGTAGCTTCTGTTTTCATTCCATATTATGTCTGACCTTCTGGGCCACTTATTCTGCACTATTATAATGCAAAAGAGGTTAATTTCAATGTGATTCCAGTATTTCATTGAAAATATCTTTAAAAAAAAAAAAAAAAAAGAAAGTGATATATATTTTTTTCCTGATAAAAATATCAAAGCAAAGCTTCACAGGTTCTGAGGTTTTTACTCCATGCTGTAGTTGCCTCATCTATAACACATGGGTCAAAATAATATTTGGTGAGATACTTGTTCACCTTAAATTCTCAAAGCATTTAAGTGTTAATTGCTGTTGCTGTTTGAGAAATGTTCTTTTCATAATCTGCTGTTCCTTTTCATTATTTGCTTAAATATTCTTATCACACAATGATCCTAATTGGTCTCAAATCAATTCTGTCCTCTGGTTAGGAGCAGCAGCAAAAGCTCACGGATTATACGTTTTAGATTTCTATCTTCATTTGCATCTGAAATTGTAATAACGTAAAGGATCCTGAGATGCTTTCCTATCATGTTTGATAAAAATACAAGAGAAATTATTTCCCCCCTTCAAGCCTTCTGCTTTTATTGTGTTTCTTAAGATGAATGCTCTTAAAAGAGTTCTGAAGAATAATCTCTGAGATTAAGTAATTCCCACTGACATCCCTCCACTAATGAGGAAAAAGCGTAGTACTGAGGAGGCCACACAGTGGAGACTGGATAGCCTCTATAACTTGTAATGCAAATTAATTTGCTTTGTATTGCAGTAAATGATCAATGAAAACATCCAGCTACTGCATTTCAGATAAGGACAAGTAACATTTCAGAAATGCTTTACGACAAGTGCAAACATCTGCATGTTCACAGCCTTCTATTTCTCTGCATTGATTTAAAAAAAAAAGTAAATTAAGTGGGGATAAAATGGATAGCAGTTTCCATGCTTTAGATTGTGTGAAATCTGTAGAGCTCACCTCTAAAAATGAACAGGTGGAATACGAACAAAATAAAAGTCTATAATGTGAAAGCCTTTCTGGCAATAAGCACCATGAAGCCATACTTGGTGTATGAAAATCTTCTTGTGAAAGGATTCTCCACTGTCCAGCAGGTAGTGTAAGATCTTAAAAGAGCAATGTATTTAACAGAACATAAGAAGACACATTTGTTAAAACTACACTTTATGATGACAGAACCAGTGCAACAATCAAAGAAAGAAAATGTACTGCAAATTGAGACTGTTTATTTATTATTCCATTTAATGAAGGAATCACTGTTCTATTCGGTTTCTAGCAATAGAACATCATACTGTCAAGCAATCACTGGCTGATTTTAGGGCAAATTATTGGAATCAAATTTTATTCTAAATTAGTGAGTACCTTGAAATATCTTTATTGATTAATACAAAGAATACAGTAAGCCTGTATCTTGTGGTACTTCACATACAGTCTTCTGTATTGTTCTCATTTCTGTGCCTGGATCTGACAGCTCACGTGCATACCATGATGAAGTACTGTTCAAACCACTCAAGGCTGGTCTCTAGGCTGGTATAGCTACACAGCATACTGCAAAGCCTTGCAGTTACAGCAGCGAGGCTGAATGCGGGCTGCATGAAGGCACTGGAGCTGCATAAAGACTTGCCTGATTGCACACTGGCATCCAGCATTCTGATACTGACTGCATATGGAAGTGGGTGACATACATTGTGGCACTGCTTGACACTCCCTGATGGTGCTGTGCCCTGAAAATTGGAATCTCATGGGGTACAGGAATGGCACATCAGCCCGATGGTCTGCCCATTGTTTTTTTCCTTCCTTGTTTGTCAGAAGAAACACAATACAGTGGAAAAACATCGCTTTGCCTCCATTTACATGAAAAGAGAACAAACACACAGTGACAATTAAAAAAAAAAAAAGTTTTGGAATTTTATATCTTTTTATGTATAAATGTCAGAGAAAACTGCATCTACCAGTAAATCTTAGACTGCATTTTCATTTGGAACAATAAATCTCTCTGTTGCTCTTCCCCTCTGGTTCATGCAGAAAATCATAACACATCACTTCTCTTCATGTACTGGCCATGCTTTTGGCAAGATAGCCCATTGTGTGGTTCTCTCCTCGTGCTTCTTTCTGGACTGGAAAGTAATTTGGAAAATTTCTGATATGAATGAATGTATATGCAGGAAACGTGAGACATTTCCATTATTTCCATCATTTTTCCACATCCCCAGTATTTCCATCATTTTTCAATGGAGATTTGTCTTAAATGTAAAGATTTTTAAATCTAAGAAAGCATGTGTAGAATAAGTCATGTCTAGTGAACACATCCTCAGCTCTCATATCCAACCTTGTTACTAAGGGTAGCTGTTTAGTAGTCTTTCCGCACTAAGGTTTGTTGCAAAAATACCAGTGCTTTATTGCAATTACTTCAGTCATTTCCATCAGTTACATGCATAATCTCCGAGTTAAAATTAATTTCAACTTCTAAAAGAGGCTGTACTTTTCAGGTAACATCAGCCGTTTCTTTTTATCTCCTGTTCTCGCTTGTAGTACTTTGTGCTGTGCACACGCTCTGTAATCTCAGCGGCAATTCTGACTTTTCTCCCTGCTGCTTCTTACCCTACTGAAATTTCTCTGTGTAAATCCTGGGCCAAGCAGTGAGAGAAAGGTGTACTGCTTAGCTCACAGCAGAGCAGAAGCCCTCAAGACAAGAAGAGTAAAGGACATTCTGGAGTTTTGCAAAAAGAGATTGCCTATAAAGTTCTGCTTTCATGTCCACTTCTGAATGTTCTGGGAAGGTAAGAAGTGCATGTGAAGGAGGGCTCCTGCTGGTGCCCAACCTGAAGGTTTTCAGTCAAAGACATAAAAACTACTTGCTGTCTGAAGGCATATTTTATTTTACTTTATTTCAAATCTCTACAGAGATTGCAATGTATAGAAGAGAGTCATTTTGTTACCATTAAAGCATAGATTTGTGTGTCTGTGTGGAGACCTTTCACTCTCAGAGAGTAGGAGAGAAAATGAGAATAATACTGAAAACATTTTCCCCTTAAATCCTGCTACTCTAGTTAGGACTGGGGAAAGAAAATAGATAAGTCAGAGAGAAAACAATAAGTGAAATAAGTAAAAGGCTTCGAGAAATTTGAGATATTTCCTAAATAAATATTTTCCTAAGGCAGAGAGAAGTTTTATAGATGAAGGTGATATAAAGGAATGCAAATAGTGGGTGGGAGCTTTTAATGGCTTCTAATCACGAGGAGGAATGCACGATGTGCTTTAAATCCAGTGAAAAAGTGGGAATGCAAATGAAGCTCTGATTAAACAAAGCAGCGCTCGATCCAGAACTCGATTCAGGAAAGCACTTAAATAGAAGCTCCAGTCTTGCTAATTTGGAGTGTTATGTCCTGCCCTTAAATGCACTTTTTAAAGTATTTTTCTGCTCACGTGCAGTTTACTAAGTGAGAAAGAAAAGGAGGGCCCGCTTCCCGCCCTTTTTGCTCAGCCGTTGCTCCCTCGCCTCGCGCCGCCCCCGTCTCGTGTCGCCTGAGGGGACGCCGCTCTGCTGCCCGCCGCTGGGCACGGGTCCTGGGACAGAAGCGGAAAAAAAGACCAAAGAAAGCACGACATCACCTTGAAAATGTTTTCAGAAGGTGCTGCAGCAAATCCTGAAAAGACTTGCAAGTAATTGCATGGCTCTTTTCGAGATGAGAAGGGAGAGGAAAGGAACGATGAACTCCGTATTCATGTGAGGTACGGGTTGCCTGGGGCTGCCCTGCTGGCTGTGAGCACTCGGGTCAGTTGTGGATCACAGTGCTAGGACTCTGGCCGCAGACTGAAGCTGTTCGGTCCTCTGCCCCAGGCTGACACAGCTACAGCCGGGCCAGTCCTTGAGGTGATGCCATCTTCAGTAATGCGAATACATTCCTGGATCCCATCTTAGCTCCTGCATCATACCTGAGGCTATAAGGATAAAAATACTACTTAGGTGTTGATAAAAGTTGCTTTATTTGAGATGAATGCGTTCCAGAAAGCAAAGCCTGCAGAAGGATTAATTAAGATAAGCTATGTTTACGTCAAGTGGATCTGAAAACTGAGTCTCTTTGCATGCAGCTTGGTTAATGGAAATATAAGTTGTTTTATTAGTCAAATGGCACAATTAATTATAGGGAAGAAATTTTTTTTTTTCCTCTGGGGCTTCTTTATGACTCTGCTTACACTGCTTACAATTAATCCTAATGGAAAGATCAGAGTAACAATCCACAGTCTCTTGTAAACTTTCAGAAGCTGATTATTGCTTCCAAGCGCCCAACGCAATGATGCCTTTTTCAGAAAATAAGCTTTCTATGTTTCATACAGTGAACAGCCCCAAATCACTGTTTTCCCACAGATTCTGATCCAGGCAGGGTGTTCTGGGTTCTGGAATTGCTGCTTCCTGCTGGCTGCTCACGTGTCCCCTGGTGCCCAGTGCACCAGGGAGCATCACTCCTTGCAGTCCTGAGCCACTGAAGCTTCAGCTGCAGGACTATGTGGTCTTGTTGGTGTCTACTGAAATGCTCAGCTGTGTGTGGCTGCTGCTCAGTCCACCACAAGTATTGCCACCCATATGTTTGATTTATGCATGTAACGTGTTAGAGTTTTGTCGTTAAAGCTGAGTTCAGAGCGATGCTGTTACAGACATGTTGCTTGCCTTTGCATTCACTGAGCTTCTTGGAAGGCAAACAGCTAATGGCAGGGAAGGGACGGGGAACACATAGTAGGCTAAAAACTCCTTTCATCCAGTTTCTTTATAGACCTTGATGTGTCCTTCCAATTTATTGAAATTGTGGTTACTTCTGCTGTTATGAAGGCTGACGTTTTTGGAATATCATAATTCAGCTGTAACACTGATGTGTTGGTAGCACGAACTCTCGTCAGTGTATTGCAAAGTGCCTTCCTCCTCTTCCTCTGAATGAGACTGAGGACTTTCATGAATCTCCCAGTATTTTAATATCATTTTAGTAGAAAATGCATTATTTATTCTTTTAATGGGAAATGTATCAAATTGGGATGGCTCTTTTACTAGAACATCTGCTAGGGAGCAGCCCTGGCTTAATGTGAGTGAGCAGTAATGACCATTGCTCACTGGGGACAATGTCAGCAAATGCTCTGCTTAGTGGAGATGTCCTTAAGCAGTGCCAAGAGATACAGCGGTGATCAGTCAGACTTAAGGAGTCAAATTCATGGTAAGCTCAGAGCTACTATAATGCCAAATAAACATTAAATGCAACAAATTTTCTTATACATTATTCACTAAGATACTTCACTGTCTTGTGGAGGCTTCTCTGAGTTGTTTTTTTCATAATGTTCTTTCTAACTGCTTGGTCCAAAAGGCTTCAATTAAATGAGCATTTCAATGATTGGAAGGATCAAGGCCAGGGCACACTGCCTGTTGTAGTTGTTTTCATAATTTTAGCAGTCTCCAGGTATTTACTATGTGATTCTCAGTTTTGCTGCAAGGTGTGATGAGATTCAGCTCGATAAATAAATGGATTGTCATGGACTAAAAAAAAAAAACACAAGCTTTTTTTTTTTCCTGAACTCATAATCATAACATAGGAAGCATTTTCAGGCTGGTGCAGTAGTCCTGCAGGTCAGGGCTGCCTACTAGAGTGCACCTAGTCTAACTCAGCCTGTGCCAGCACCATGCCCTGCCACAGGGTGGGGTACGGTCTCTGTGTCTGGGCAGTGGCAGGAAGAGAGAGGGGGTCTTCAGGATCTCTGAGTTAATCAGTGCTGGAAAATATTTTCTGATCCCATGCTGAAGCTAAATATTAAGAATTTTTGGGTATCTAATGTGCTACACAGACCGTATAAAGAGTTTTAAATAAATGGAGCTACAGCTTAAGAACATAGAGGTGAATCTTAAAATGCTTAAAAAACTTCAAAATTTTTAAAGCGTGGATCAAAGATACAAAGAAAAAAACTCTAGGATTTATAGTTGATCTTGACTGATTCTGAAAATGTAATATGTACAGAGGGCATGGGATTTTGTTCAAGTTAAATTTCATTTTTTCTTAGTGAAGGTGTTTTATGTTGCTGTTAGGAATTTCCTGTCATATGATGCTTGATGGCTGTCTGTGGCATGCGTAAGGCTAACTTCTGTCACGTTTTCTTTTCACAACCCTATGCTTCCTAACCCTTCCAATATATTCCTGTAAAAAGCCGACCCACATCCATGCCTTCTGCTCCCCTAAACTCCAGCCTGTTCTCCATTAGAAAGGCTTTGTGAAACTACTGATGATAACTGCTGAAAATGAAAAGTCAAGGAAGCATTGTAATGAAGTACTCATCAGAGAGAGATTCTTTAGCTCCCTTATTGTATTTATGAAGCTGAAACCCCTTGCCTGCTATTAACCAAGTTACTTGAAATAAGGATGAAATTGGAACGATGAGAAATAATTTGATCTTAAAACTAAAAAGATCAATCTGCATATTTCATAGAGCTTCAAATAATTGTGACTACCGCCACTTTACTACTAAGCAGTACTAATGAAGAGTTATTTATGAAGTCCATACTAAATGCAACTCTGAGCAGCTCCATTCGGAGAGCAGTTATTCAGAAGAAAAAGTGGAAAACCATAGCTGTAGTTACTGTATCTGTTTTCTTTTCCTTTTGAATATAAAGCCCGGATTAGAGTCACAGACTGATCTGTGTTTCAGCCAGACTCTCTTAACTACTCATTGTGTTGCCTCTTGTTTCCCTCTATTGTGGCTGTGGATTAGTGCTGACAAATGGGAGCAGTGGAGGAAAAATCATCAAGCTTATGTTTGAAGATTGAGCTAAAATGTCCAAATGCCTTCTTTATCCAAGCCTTCCCCTCTAAATCTCAGATGCGTGCATGTTACACAGATATTAAAATTTCCTTCAGCACTGATATGAATGTTGGTTTCCTTGAAAATTAATTTAGGGTATTTTGCTACAATGATTTGAAGAATGCAGGTCTGCTACCTCTCATAAAGCAATAAAAACAGCACAATTGTAAACCTGTTTTTATTGTTCTTAGTCTCTCTTTGTGACAATGTTTTGTTGTAGTTTCTATCATCTAACTTACTGTATGCAACTTTTTATGGACAGTGGGTATCCTTCTGCAGCGTTGTATGATCTCCAGGCAGCTACATAGCTGGCATACCTGCTTTGGGTGTTTTGTTCGCTGTGTGTTGCATGTAGCCACACCCATTCTGTCTGAATAAGGGCAAGAACTGCTATGGCCTGAATAGCCCTCCGGGGGGGGGGGCAGCTATTGAGGCAGCATAGAAATTTTACAGGGCATTAACAGTGGCCAAATTTGAGAGCAGAGGATGAGCCCTCCTTGGACAGGCAGTGACGTTCTTCTTATTCTGCTTGCTAGAAGCTTGAGCACTCCAGCCTTGGCCCAAAATGCTGGCATGATTTACAGTCTTCAGTTCTGGTGTTTATTACTGTGGGGCTATAAGACAAAGCAGTCATCCTTTATGTTTTGTTACCTGATGTTCCTTCCATTTTGGCAGGGAACAAGCTTAGCAATACTGAACTGTCTTAAGGTATGAAATGAGATGTTGTTGTTGTTATTAAACTAGTGAAGCAGGAGACAAGGAGGGAAAGAAACCTCTGTTGAAATAACAGATGAATCCATGCCTGTTATTCATGCTCAGTTATTACTGTTCTTACAATTCAAAATAGAATGATGATATACAAACAAAGAATATATAAAAGGAGAATCATTAGTGCTCATTTGTGATTATAGAGAATTAGCTAGGTCCTGCATCCTGTGAGAACTATCGTTTGTGAGAAGAGTGTACTTATTAAGGAAAGAATGAAAGCTGTAATTGAGGGTATTTTTTCTAAGAATGACTGTAACTGCATTATAGATTAGTATTTCTACAATAGCTTTCCAACCATTTGGCAGTGGATATGTGTAAATCCTCTGCATAACCTGCAGCAATAACAGCTGGTCGTGTGATTCTGAGAGATACCACACACACACACACGCACAAAAAAAAAAAGGCCTGAAGAATAATGAGAGAACTTTTATAAAGGATGGCAATGATACAGTAGCATCATCCCTCCTGGATAATGTTCACCAGTAATGTGTATGGTCCTTTGCTGGAAATGTGGCAGTTGGGGTGTTATCTGATGCTGAATCCTGTACACCTGTGTGTGACTTCAGTGGCCCAGATACTTTTTCTTATTTCAGAAGTCAGTTGCTCTCTGAGATTCTGTCTAGACTCCAGCTTTAGCAAATTACAACCTCAGTACCTATCTTTTCCTCCTTACTCTGTGCTTTCTGCAAAATGGTATTGCAGGATTATTTTGCATTTGTAATTTGCCTCTTGTGTCAGGCAAAAAATATCGTCTTTTTAGCGATTTTTTAAAAGTCAGTTTTCCATGCGTTTCTTTGGCAAGGGGCAATCAAGTAAAATTGATTCTGTTCTGTGTACATGAAGGTGCCCTGTAGTCTTACAGTAAATTAAATCACTACACGATTAATGTTCACAGTCAAAAAAATCCAGTTCATCTAGCTGTGAATATGTAGTACAGAGTTAGAGGGCACCTTGTCCATGCAGCTCTTGTTGCTTATTGTAGAGAAAAACAAAACATGGTTCTCTGAAGTTATCAATAGAGCATAGATCTACATATAGAAATAGAGACTATTTGGATGTGCTTTCATTCTTATGAAGTTAACTATTTGTAAGAATTATTTATAATTCATAAACTTCAATCAATGCTTTAA